ACGCCGGGAGACGATCCTCCATCAGCTCAATAATCCCCTCCTTGATCGACCCGAAAATGATCGGGGTCAAATCAACGATACCTCTCGTGATCTCTGACGCGATGAGCTCGCGTAGCCCGTCATCAACCTGCTCGGATCCTGCACCCGAGCCTGATCCTGATCCTGATCCAGACCCTGAACCTCCTGCTCTATGTCGCGTAATCGCCATACTGAAATAAAACACATAAACATCAGGGTCATACATACTCTCGAGAGGTCTCACACACTCTCCAAGTTCCCTGGTTCTATCTCAGCCCTCCTTGATTCGAGTACGGATCCTCTGCTTCCAGTAGTACGGGCCCATACTACCTTCCACATCTATCCGTACTTTCCTCAAGAATTGCCTTGACTTCACCAAGTCCCTCTTTACTGTCCAACTAATCTCATCCTAGGCTTCTCCTAGGGCACTCTCCGACCTAAACCGCCATCAGCTGCACAAGGAGTCCCTACCAGCTTTCCCTAACTAGCTTGCGGATACTATCACATATCCGCTCCCTAGTTAGTTAAAGCTAACCGGAACCCCAATTAGCACAAAGCAAGCAGCATTCGTGCATTGAGTAACCATTACCAAGTATAACCTACTCAGGCTACCATACTGCTGACTAACCAGCCCTAGCATATAACTCAATAAGCTCATACAATAGGCATATAAGTCATCCTTCCTAGATCCCTTAGCCCTAATCTAGCATGCAGTTCTCATAATCATATAACAGGCATACAAGGCATCCTCCCTAGATCCTTAGCCCTAGTCTAGCATGCAGTTCTCATAATCATATCATATAACAGAACATAACATGTATGGGTATCTTGGGGAAAACTTACTTGAGCTCAGCTGGTCGCACGCATCACACACCTTGTTCTTTCTCAAAACTCCTTATTTTAAAATTTAGAAAACTGTTTTTCTTGTAAAAACCCTCCAAGCCCTCGGTTTGAGTCCAGGCACCCCTGATGGTGTGCCCGAATCCCTCAAACTAAGGCTCTGATACCAACTTGTAACATCCCAAAATCGAGACCCAATTTTTTTTAAAAGTATATTACTTGTAAAAATAGTTAACGGAAAACAACATTGAAATACTTTCAAACATAAAGTCACAAATCACAAGTCTCAAATCCATATTAGCAAATAGTATAACATCAGAGTACAATCCCAGGTTTCTAAAATGCGGAATATCATGTGTGGATGTGTGATGCGCTGCTACCCCGCCGACTCCTTCCCCTTAGATGAGGAGGTACCTGAAACCAAAACTAAAAACCGTAAGCACAAAGCTTAGTGAGTTCCCCCATCATACCCATACCAAACAATGCATAATCTTCGGTATCTTTCAACCGGTAACTATCGGGCATAGCCAGGAGCTGGTCTCCTCCTCGGTATCTTTCAACCGGTAACCGGGAACTAACCTCCCATTCAGTATCTTTGAACCGGTAACTGGGAGTTACCCTCCCCTTCGGTATCTTTCAACCGGTACCCATGGACTATTTCACCCCTACTACTGCTAACACATATCAAAGACAACATCTGGTTGACTCGACTCGCCGAGTTGGTCCGCCAACTCGCCGAGTCCCCATGTTCACCTACTGCCATAATCTCGTCCTTACTCGTCGAGTCTAGCAAAAGCTCGACGAGTTCGCCTTCAACAACACATCTGACTATCTTCAACCGACTCGCCGAGTTCATCTTCATCCATATGAAGATGTTCAGTCTACGACTCGCCGAGTTCTCCTTGAACTCGGCGAGTCCATCTTCAAGTGGTTGGGACATTTCCTTGAACTCGCCGAGTCTGTTCATCCACTCGCAGAGTCCTATGATTTCCAGGTCCAAAACAAACCCCCTAGCAGGCTGAGTGTTCCTTCCACTCAACCAAAACCATTTCCAGAAGATGTTTGGGGAAAAATGCATCCCGACTCGCCGAGTCACCTAAGCGACTCGCCGAGTCACTCCTAGTCCAAAACTATACAGTCGATTATAATGGGTCTTAATGCATCAAAACCATAGATCTGACTTCCTAGGGTCCATTTCATACGTAAAGCTACGAACTTGATGTCCATGCATGGGGTTTTTGGCTCCAAAATCCATAAAAGAAGGTCTACAAGATGCATGGGGTGCTTATGGCAACAAAGTTGGCACCTTTATGCCATAAAGACCCCCAATAGCCCCAGATCCGAAGTGCAACTCCAAGCACACCCACAAAATCTGATTTTTGCTTCTCTATACTAATAAAAAGGGTAGAAATAGCCCCAAATCAAAATCTAAGAGATAGATGGTCAAGGTTCCAACTTTTTACCTTGAATGAGCTGAGAATGAAGTAAAACTTCTGGATCTCCTTGCTTCTACTTGAACTTCCAAGTTTCCTTCTTCTTCTCCAACTTCAAATACACACAAAAAGCACCAAAAGGCTCAAGAACACTCAATAAGGGTTTAGGGTTTCAATCTAGGGTTTCTCTGAGTTGGGAGGGTGATGGAGGCTGGTTTGGGATGAGATAAAGTGTTTAAATAGGGTGCAAACCCTAAACATTAGAGTTTTGTCCAGACAACTCCTACTTACCGAGCCGGTCTCCCAACTCGTCGAGTAGATCATTAAAACTCCCGCATAAGGTCGAGTCTACTCGACAAGTTGGGCCTCCAACTTGCCGAGTCCCAGAGTAAATTAAAACATTACTTGAATTTAAATACGTACCAGGAACCAGGTGTTACATATAAACTCACCAACTTAAATGTTGATACACTTTTAAAATCACTTGTATTCTCAGGGAACCAGTAGACAGGTACACCCACAGGTTTTTGAGAAGACGGAGATTGTAGAGTTACGTCTTTTATACTTTTGCTATACACTTTTGATGTCATACAAACTATGTATTGAACAGATGTAAATACCATATTTTATCAATGTAATGGTTGTGTTTGCTTTGATTACTATTATGCAATTGTTGTGATACTATACATGACGTCTCTGCCCCCGAACGTTTCCGCCGTTCCGGTTTGGGGGTGTGACAGGTAGTGTATCACCGAATATCAGAAAGAAGAGATGAAGGCTAACTGACAGAGTTTCACCGGAGTGACAAGCGGCAGACGCGACGAATATTAATGTCGTCAAGGTTAGAGCTTAGATACATCAGATATGTTGTAGATCTACCTTTTTTTACTGGAGATCACGTAGAAAGAGATGTAGGCAAGCTCATCGTGTTTCACTGAAGCGAAGAGGCTGCAACTATGGTGACCAATGATGACGGTGGTAGTGTTCGAAAGTTTTAGATCTTAAATACGTCAGATTTGATGCAAATCTAGTCATTTGTCATCGGGTATTATGAAGAAAGAGATGGAGAAGTGTTATTCGTGTTTTGCTGGAGTAAAGAGGTAACGTCGATGGTTGTCGGTGTTGATGTTTGACGATGGAGTTTTTGACTCCATATCTGATATCAGTTACGGTCGACAATATATCTGAAGCAAAATATCTTGACGACTTGACATTCCGACGAGTGAATGTGGTAGGTGACAACGACTGTAGCCATAAGGTGGTGGCGGCAGGTGGCAGAAAGTGGTAGCAATATGTAGCTGAAGTGGTGTTAGGGTTTATGTTCTTGGGAGAGTTTGAGAGGGCTTAGAAGAGTGTTCTTCCAAAAAAATGTTTGGAAAGTGTTTGAAATGTTATTAGATGTTAGATATTTGTTGTAAAAGTTTCAAATGACTGTTATGCCCTTATTTGATTTTTAGCTATTTATCAACATTTTAAAAAATCAAATAATAGAATTAGTGGTTCTTAGGGTTCCTAACATTTTAGGGTTCTCATTTGATCTTCTCTCTCTCTCTCTCTCTCTCTCTCTCTTTATATATATATATATATATATATATATAATATATATATATATATATATATATATATATATATATATATATATATATATATATATATATATATATATATATATATATATATATATATCAAGGTTGTCAAGATCGGGATCCTACGTAGGATCGTTTTTTGGTTTGCAAGATCGGGAGCGTAAGATTGGGATCGGGATCCTAAGATCCCACAAAATAAAATATAATTTTAATTTATAATTTTTAATTATGAAAAATATTTCAAACATTCAATTTTTTGTTCAAAAGTTATAAAAGCTTCAAAATATTAGTCATAAGTCACAATATAAAACGATAAACAGTAAATTGGTAAAGGGTAAAAGACATAAAATGGTAAAAAAAAATTCATTTGCAAAAAAAAAAAAAAAAATTAAGGGAAGGTAGGATCGGATCGGATCTCGATCCTATGATCCTATCTACGATCTTACGATCCTACCTGCGATCCTACAACTAAAATAATTTTATTCAATTTAGAAATTTAAAAAATTATAAAAAAAATTGCATTAATGAATTGGATATATATTTATTACATTTAAATATTATATGAAAATTAATAAAATGAAAAAAAACCACAAAATGATACATGGATATAAATTAATCAAAATTTATCACAAAATGACATGTAACATAATGCATAAGAGCATGACAAGTGGAACAATTATTTTAATTTATTATGAAAGATGAAAAATAAAAACATTTATATTACCTTTAACTTCGGAAGTATATTGGAAATCGTTGATCTTAAAAGAATTACGTATATGATAAATCACCTTCCTAAATATATAAATAAAAGTACGTTCCAAGATCCAAATATATATACATCTTGGATATAAGTTCCAAAAAAAAAATTTATATGGAAATATTGATAAAACTAAATTAGTTACAATTAACTCATATTCAAATTTATATATAACAAAATATATTAAAAGTTATATAATAAAACTAAATACAACATATATACTAAATAAAGAAAGAAGAAATAAATGTTAGTTACTGAAAAGACAAAGTTAGGTTGTAGCAATGAAGTCTATCGACAGAAGCCATATGATTAATATAAAAAGAAAGCCTTATTGTCACTTTCCCTATAATTCATTTCTTGTCGTGTTATACTTTCTTTTAGATTGAAACAAATGCCAAACATTCATTTGTTTAGTCGAACTTAAATTCCATACTGATGAAGTATTCGACTTTGAGATGATTAAGTTTTCCCACTATATATATAGAACTTTTCTCAACGAGGTGTTCCATTCATTCCTCCATCCTAAGTAATGTTGTGCTCAGTGAGGGCAGGTTTAGTGGGCTCACGCCCCTCAGCCTCCGGTAGGATTCCGATCACACACCAGTCATGCGTATGGTCAAGGCAGTTGTTGACTTCACGTCCTTCTACAAGAATTAGCAATAACGGTGTTGCCGCCATGGTAACAAATGTTTTAAGACGTGGTTCATCTTCTATTCACACCTTTAAGGTCTTTATACTCATTTTTATTTAAAATGTTTAATCTGAGTTGAACATACAATGCGATTATTGGGATTTTGGTATGATGGTCGAGTCGCATCCCATGCCCATCGAATGGATGAGTTTCTTATTAATTTTTTGGTCGTACATCTGAGTATAGCGACTGATGTCAAACACTGATCACAACATGCATTTCCCTAACTGGATTTGGTGATTATTTTAGGCAAAGGCCATGGGTAAAGAAGAAAGTAAACCAGGATTCCCACCACAGAACCAGGATGGCCAACCAGGAAAAGAGTACCTGATGGATCCTCTACCAATATTCAGCAATCCTGATTACAAGGCCTCTAACAAACTCCAAGTACATGCTACAGCTTCGTTCATTAAGTTTTTAGTATCACTGTCATGTCGCACCCTTCTCATCATAAAATGTAGCTAAATTTTAGATATTAATTCCACTAATTGCGTTATGGAGATTCTGATTTTCTTGTTAAAAGGCTTAGCGGCACAGCTTTGCCATCTCCCTCACTCATTGTACGATGACAATTAAAATGCTGTTCTAATGATTGAGGTGGATAGATTTCAGTTACCATACTTGTGAAGAAAAAACAGTGTAAAGATTGAACCTTTTGCCAAAACAGAGTATAAAAACATAGGGGAAATCTTGTCTCCTTTCTCTCTCAAAAAGCCATCAAGTTTTCTGTGTTTATGGTGCAGGGAAAGGTGGCCTTGGTAACAGGTGGTGATTCGGGTATTGGGAGAGCTGTTTGCTGCTCGTTTGCTAAAGAGGGGGCAACTGTTGCCTTTACTTATGTGGAAGGTGTCGAGGACATAGATGCAAAGAACACGTTAGAGATCATAAATGATTCAAAAATTAGCCAGGCAGGTGATCCAATTGCATTACCTACTGATGTGAGGTTTGAAAAGAATTGTAAGGACGTTGTTGATAAGGTGGTTGAAAAATATGGTCGCATCGATGTCCTCGTGAACAATGCAGCCGTACAGTACGAAACATATTCTTTAGATGATATTACCGAAGAGAGACTTGAAAGGCTATTTAGAACCAACATTTTCTCTCATTTCTTCTTGACAAGGTATGTATATATCATCTACTACATTCTTCACTTCTTATTATGATGGGACGTTGTACATGTAGGTATGCTGTGAAGCACATGAAAGAAGGAAGCAGCATCATAAACACCACTTCAGCCGTAGCATACACAGGCAGCACAAAGCTACTAGATTACGCTTCAACAAAGGGAGCCATCCTGGCCTTTACAAAGGGCCTCGCAACATACCTGGTCGACAAGGGGATTCGTGTTAATGGTGTGGCCCCTGGCCCCGTGTGGACTCCACTTGAAGCTGCATCACTCAATGACGAGGATCTAGCAGCGTTTGGCTCACAGGTGCCAATGAATAGGGCAGCTCAACCTGTTGAGATTGCTTCATCATATGTCTTCCTGGCATCCGAGGACGCTTCCTACTTTACTGGCCAAGTTCTTCATCCTGATGGTATAATTCTAGAAACACAAAGAATGCAAACTACACACACACACACACAACTGGTTATGATAACAAAGTTACGTAGCTTTTTTTTTTTTTTTTTTTTCTTTGAGTCTTATCTTTTGAGTTATGTGATTGGATCATGATATTGCACTATCTTGCAGGTGGGGGAATTTCCGGTTTTTAAGAATATGGAGCGAAGTATATGATATATTTTGCGCTTAATTAAGTACATTTTGTGTACTTTAAATAAATTGACGTTCGATGTAAAATCTTGTGTACTTTAAATAAAATGCCGTTCATATGTAAATTCTTATATATGTTTTGGAACATCGAACATGCAGTTCTTAAGAGCTTTAAGTAACTGTTGAAATGAAACACTCCTAACACTTGGTGGATGATTGCAAAGTAAAAGAAAACTACAATATTGGTGGTCCTGCCTCGGTTACTCGGTCTTCTAATCTAGACATAACTGCAGCAAAAGCGTATATATTTTACTGGTTTATTTGAAAAAAAAATACAATTTGGTTTTACTGGCTACAACAATCCAGACTCCGTATTAGCGATGAGAGTCCTATCAGGAGTTAACGGATAGGTGCGGTCAGCCAAAGGTTGGGTGCTCAAGCCTGGTTTGAGACGAAAAGTGTAGAATATGAGTAAGATAGTGGCTGCGTTGTGTCTGTAACCGTTCAATATATATATATATATATATATATATATATATATATATATATATATATATATATATATATAAAACACCCTGTCGAGTCGTATCGTCTTCATGTTCAAAGTTGTAAACAAAATTGACACAATATTAAGATGTGAATGTCATGTCGTGTTTTGTAAGACTAGTTACGAATTAAATAAACTAATTTTTTTTTATATTTTATATTTTTATGTTTGTTGTGTTGGTTGTTTTTATCTTGTTTTAATCGAGTATTTTTTTCGTGTTTTAATTGAGTTTTTTTCCGTATTAGTAAAGCAAAACATGATGGTATGTTGGGTCGTTTTCGTTTTATGTAAAAAAATATCGTGGCGTGCCGTATTGGCTAAAAACACAATACGACTATCCGATTTGTCACCCTACTCGTTATCGTCATATTTACTAGTGTTAAAACCAATCTAGAAAGAAAGTATTGCATCAATAATTTACTTTGAGAATGTTACATACATTTTATATGCATCTTTTAACACGTTTTTATCGGCATTTCTTATAAGAAGCTAACCTTATTCCTTGTATTGCTATAAATTGCGTATTTATCATTATATTCACAGAATTCTCCATACTACTTACTTTTGTTATGATTTTCAGGATAAATTAGAGCAGGATGAGAATACGACACTTCGAGGATGTGTTCGATGAGGCATTGGAGCTTAAATGGAGATGGAGACTAAGGATTGATGTTGAGGGATTATTGGAAGCTACTTTAATCAAAGAAAAATGATTATTCTGCATGGATCACAGAAAACACAATCGTGTATTAGTTAAAACAAAGAACGTGTTAGAGCTTCGAGGATTGTTTAGCCATATTTTGAAATCTGAAGAAAAACACCAAAAACATGACCGAGTTTCCCTCCAATCCACGATCATGTTTATGCTTCAAGGTTGAAAATTGCCCTGAAAATCCTTGAACGCCTTCCACGACCCAAAATACAGTCGTATGCAAAAAGCATGATCACAAAAGACCCAAAAGCACGATCGTGTAAACAGTTAAAAGCCTAAAAATAGCAACGTACTTCATTAAACTGGCTTGGGACGTGCTTTGAAGAAAAACATGATCGTGGATATGCCCGATTTCTGATTATGCATATAAATAGCACCTGATAACATTTTTGTCACAGTAGCTTGATTCCAGACAACTTTACGGCGAATTTCTGAACGTTTTTGATGAAGAACGAAGATCTGAAGAACACGATTCAGTTTGTTATTTATGTTTAGTAAGTTTAATCATTCGATACTTATTTCTATTGTTTGTAATACGTTTTTGGCCATGTCAGACTAAAAACCCTAGATTTCAGTTTAACATCTACTCTACTTTTCGTGCAAGTAATCATTAGGCTTGATTTGTTGTTATGAATCCTTTCTAGTTTGATCAGTTTTGAGTTTAATTGTATGTCTGATTTAATTCGGTTTTTATTGTCCACTTGAATCGATAATATATCATTCCATTTAACTGGTTGTTCCGATCCATATTTGTCTTAATTAATCACTAATAAGTAATGAATATTAGATTGGTTCTTTGTAAAGATGTAACTCTAATATAAATTGATTGAACAAGTTTTTACGCTTTCGAGCCTATGAGAAGTATTGAACTTTACTGAGAATTTTACGTCGTTATTAATTTTATTTTTGTAGACTAATTAAGAGTTTGTTTGATTGATTAAGTAAAAAGTGAGGTTTAATTCAAATAGCATGTTTTGGTTAAACAATTTGGTAAAAGAGGATTGTTAAAGCTTATTAATGATTTTCAGTACTAGTTTAGACAATACATAATTCAAACAATCAAGTTGAAGATTATTTGCATGAGTAGGAGAGTCACCGTGGAACTGAAATTGTTTTTAATAAATTGAATTTTCGTAAGTTATTAGTTACATTTTTATAGTTTCTCGTTTAATATTAATTCTAATCATCCCCCCCCCCCCCAATTTAATTTACTATCAGACTAGTGTGTGCCTTACTCAAGAAGGCATAAATCTTAGGACGTGTCGCTATGGATTCGAACTTGCTTTCCTGTACTACCCATTAGTGCAATTGAACAATATTTTATACGTATTTTATATTTGTTTAGGTGCTTATGACAATGTATTAATAAATAGCATCTTGTTGAACCTCATTTAAAGGTCCAACACACTACCGCATCATAATTGGTCATGCCACATCACCAACATATAGACTTCTATATTTTAGAAGCATATTGCAACTATCCATAGAACATTTCCAGTTTTTAACCACATTTAGAGGTAGACTTACCAATTCGTGTGTCCATGACATGAATTTAAACGACAAAAATTTAAACAATAGGATTTGTAAAACATGTCTAAATATGAAACACAAACTCAATACATGAATAACTCGTGTGACATGTGACACGATAAAAAAGCAACAGGCTTTTAACCATCTTACAAGTAAACATATATTTAGACAAATTTACGTACGGAAATCATCGAGACAACTTCAATCCATAAAGACCTCACTCTCTTCTGCTCAAGGTTCATCTTCTATTCAAGGCATGTGATAGCATATTTGCTTAGTAAGATAGGAAAGTATCTCATATACATGGTTGTAGAACTCACTACTCGGTACCTGTTCGACCGACTACCGAGTAGCGAGTACTCGGGAGTACTCAGGAGTACTCGGATTCGGTAGTTCATGTAGAAATATTTTTAGGGAAATTATATGTATGTCACAATCATAATTTAAAACCATAATTTGATTGAAATATATAACAAAATTAGATAAATATGAATATACAAAAACTGAAAAACACGCAATGGTCTCACTTCGTTAATTTACTGAAAATTTAAGATATATATATAGTAATAATCACATGTGTGTGTGTTAAATAATAAATCATTAAGTATATTATACATATTAATCACCAAGTTGGCCGAGTTTTACAACATTGCTCGCTTCAGTAAGGGGCTAATCGGGAAGTACACAGATTCTGTAACTCGCCTCGGAAGTTGCCTAGGTTATTCTATTCAAACTAAGTATTGTGTTATTGTATGCATAATTGTGGGTCAATCATTTTTGGTAAATTAAGAAAGTGATTATTGTGTTATTGTATGTATAAATAGGTAACATTCACTTTCTTAATTTACCAAAAAGTTACTAATTAGGAAACACAAGTTTAATTAATAAAAAGTTTCGAATTTTCAGATATATTTGATTTTGTTAATTTTGAATTTTCATTTTTTTAATTAATTAGATTATAATTCTAAGATAATTCTGTTAGAATGATATTCTATGAGAATGTCAGATTATCTATTCTGACAAAATAAATGTTTTGAATGAATGAATATTTTGAAGACAAACAATAGTTTTGAACCATCAGTTTAAAAATAACCTTAAAAACTTCTTGGAGAAAACAGAATTGGAATTCGTGATTCCATTCTAAAAGAAAACATCAAAATCTAACAACGAGTAATACATTCTAAAAGAATAATGTGGTCCGTTTCAATTTTGTGGTCCGTTCTTCAAGCATCAACTTCTGTGATTCCAACAGAATTGGAATTCGTGATTCCATTCCAACAGAATTGGAATTCGTATCTTACCTAACCAATTGCAAATAAAATCATATTCCCCAGCATAAACAAGCATCTGAATACCATCTTCCAAAAGCACTGGAATCCCAACCTTGAAGTTGGAACACAAGAATACCCCGTTTGACTTAGGAAAAGTCAAAATTGAACCACTTCACATCTATTATGAATTTTGATTGACATCCATTAAACCCGATGTATGTTCTAAATTCAATTCCGATAGTGATTGATCCGGATTTTGAAGATATGATTTCGACTTCCAATGAAGCTTGCAATACACAAACCAATTTTCTATCCTCTGATGCTCGAACAGTGAACGATAATACCGATTTTTGCTTCTGAATGATTTTAGTTGCAACATTCAATCCCAAGTTAGTAATATTCGAAATCGCTGAAGGCTGATACGATCGATTTCTGTTCGAAATCGATTCTGGTGAGTTCGGTGGCGATGGTGGCTCGGTGGTGGCTGATGGTGTTGGTCGGCGAACGGGCAAGCTCCAGCCACTTATCTTCTTCAATCATCGACATCGGTTAGGTTGAAAAAGTAGGGATGGATCGGTGATAAAGAAGCAGTAACGGTTTCAAGGGATTTAAAGGAAAGCAATCCAATATTTTAGGGATTAATTAAATTTTTATTTAATTAACAAATTTAATTAATAGGTAAGATTATATATCCTTATTTAAGTTTTTGAAATGATTGGCTCACATTTATGCATACAATAACACAATAATTAGTTTAAACAAATGAACCTAACTCTATATATATATATATATATATATATATATATATATATATATATATATATATACACACACACACATACACCTTAATCTCAAAAATTGTCTATCTATTATTATTTAATTTTTTTTGAACTTAATGCACAGTGGCATTTATGTAAATAAACCAAAGTTTTGGTACTTTTCTTCTTAGGGGAAATTGTTTGGAGGGTACGATGGTCAAACCGCATTTCTAAACATGGTTAGATTTATGTTTGTGATCTCTCCCCTTTCACTCAAACGAATACTTCTAAACGTGATAAAAATCATTGTATGTTGTGTAAATCTCTTTGATTCTTCGTTTTTAGCTCCTACACATACAATTGCTCCAAAATCCTGATTGATTTGTAGAGGAATCGTTGTAATTTCAAGTCAAATGTAAGTAGGTAAGTTATTTTATTTTTTAATGGTGTCCTTCATTTTTTGTTTTAAAACCCTACTTTCAGACACGTATTTGGTCTATTGTTACTTTAGTGTTCGAGTTTTTGTTGTGATTTAAGTTTAAAACATTTTTTAATGATTAGTCCTTTTAAAACTTTTGTTTGTGTTCATAAAGGAAGTTGAATGCACATATGTTTACAAGGTGTTTGATCTAATGCCTCAGAGAAACCATATCCTAAAAAAATTCAATGCTTGAAGATTTTCTTCTTGTTGTTTTTCGTT